AAGAGAAGAATTAAAAGAATTTTAAAATGGAATTGGCAGGAGCTGAATCACAACCTATACTCCATAGCTCCCATATAAAGCAGTATTTTTCTGATAAGGTTTAGAATCTGTTCATTTACTAGTCTCAAGGACATTTGTCCAAGGTAAACAAAAATAGTTTTATCTTTACTCCATTACCTACTATACCTTTTGCGGGAGGAAAAATTCAAATCGGCAGAATACAAAGCCAACGAAAGTTCAAATAATTCTAAGAATAAATAGATGAACTCACTGCCTCTTTTTGCTTGGCCTCAAATGGCTTGACATTTTATCTCTAGGTGGCCCAATGCTTGAAGATGGGCTGACAATAGCAATGAGGTAATAACACTGATGCAGTCAAAGGACAATGCCTCTTCACTAAGACAGCAAAACTTCCACTTCATTTAAAAGACATGAGATAGACGGAGAATGAGAGCGTTCTAGCACTACCCAAGGGAAATGAAATTAAACCTTTCTCAAGAGCAATGTGGCAGCTGCCTATCAAAAAACATGCATACCTTTTGATACCACGATTTGCTCCGTAAGAATTTATCTTTGGGGAATAATTAAGGATGAAAGAGATGTGGTCACATTGATGCTTCATCCTTGTGTTGTTCACCATAAGGAAAAACTATACACAGTATAAATGTCCAACAATGATACTGGGCATAACAAACAAAATGCCACTCTGACAATAAATATTATTGTTGATTATGTACTGACATAGAAACGTATTCCTAACAATCACAGCTTACTGCAGCCTCAAACTCCTGGGCTCCAGTGATTCTCCCACCTCAGCCTTCTGGGTAGCTGGGACTACAGGTACATCACTATGCCCAGCCAAGTTTTTATTTTTTGTAGAGACAAGGTCTCGCTATTGGTCTCAAACTCCTGTGCTCAAGTGATCTTCCTGCCTTGGCCTCCCAGAAAACTAGTATTACAGGTAAGCCACTGCAGCCAGCTAGTGACTGATTCTTCTTTTGAGTATGGATCCCTACAAGAATATGATGAAAGTTATAGACACTTCCTCTTCTCCTCCCCAAAACAAACAAAAAAAAAGACAAAACTCCATCGCCTTTATGTATGCTCACAAATTTTCCACATTTTCTTCAAAGAGTCAAAGAAACCTTAAAGGCCATCCATGAACTCAGAGTCTTCCAGTTAAGGAAGCCCCCCATATTCACGGAGGCATTAACAATGCTTAATATCTGCAATGGGGTTATGAGTTATGTTCTTTGTGTTGCATCTTCCAACTTAACTATATTTCCTAATTTGTCTATGACTGGTGTATTACGATTATAAATGAAGAAAATCTTATTTATTTGGGGAATGAACAGAGACCTTTATCAAGCCGCATTAGACATCTTCAGTCTAGCCCCAGTTTCACCAATGTCTCTAGCCGAGGGTAGAAGACAGCTCCACATATAAATTAAAGCACTGAGCTTCACAGGCAAAATAACTTGAAAGAAAATGTTTTGTGGCAGAAGAGCAAATGAGACTTGCATGAACTTCAAAACTGTACCTCGGCCAGGCGCGGTGGCTCACACCTGTAATCCTAGCACTTTAGGAGGCCGAGGTGGGTGGACTGACTGAGCTCACGAGTTCAAGACCAGCCTGGGCAACACGGTGAAACCTTATCTCTACTAAAATACAAAAAATTAGCCGGGCATGGAGGCAGGCTGAGGCAGGAGAATTGCTTGAACCTGGGAGGCAGAGGTTGCAGTGGGCCGAGATCGTGCCACTGCATTCCAGCCTGGGCAACAGAGCGAGACTCTATCCACCCAAAAAAAAAAAAAAAAAGGCCAGGCGCAGTGGCTCATGCTATAATCCCAGCACTTTGGGGGCTGAGGTGGGCGGATCACAAGGTCAGAAGATCGAGACCATCCTGGCTAACACGGTGAAACCCTGTCTCTACTAAAAATACAAAAAATTGGCCAGGCGTGGTGGTGGGCACCTGCAGTCCCAGCTACTCGGGAGGCTGAGGCAGGGGAATGGCATGAACCAGGGAGGTGGAGCTTGCAGTGAGCCGAGATCGTGCCACTGCACCCCAGCCTGGGCAATAGAGCGAGACTCTGTCTCAAAAAACAAACAAACGAACAAACAAACAAACAAACTACCTCACACCAGTGTCTTCAGTTACCAAATCACGATCCTTGCCCTGGTCATAGCCCTCAGTGGACATCTCAGCATTTTCGATAAGAGACTGCATATCACTTGCAAATAAGTTTGGTCGCTTCCTCTGTGACTTAGGGCCAAATGTAGTTTCAAAACTTTCAGTTTCAAGAATGTGGACCTTCGATTTCTGAAGAGAAACAAGAATAACACGTAAAACTAAGAAAAGCACTGAGGAAAAGCGAAAAGCTAAACACCCACCTAGGAAAGACTTTCTGATTTTATTTTTCCAAGGTTCAACCCATACCCAAATCTATAAAAACATGGTTTCAGTCTGGTTTCAAATCAGAAATACTTGTTGAAATGGCACAAACACTGGTACCCTTATTCCGAAGTTCTGTAAGCTTCCTTGGAGAGATACAAAAGTAATACACATAAAGTAAATATGAATAGTTGTGCAAAAACTTGCCAAAAACTCTGCTTTATTTCATTTATCATAAACTTTAGTCAAATGTAATTAAGGCTACAGCGATGAAAATTAACTAATCTTTTCCACCATTTTTTTTAGCTTTCAAACAAGTGCATAAAATTTGCCAAATTCATAGATTTTATCAAGGACAATCATACTCAAATTTGTGAGGTTTTTTTAAACCAACTGTAAATGCCAACTTTTTCTTGGAAGTTAATTTCTTTCATGGCTAAAAGGAATTGTTTGTTTTGTAAGATGCATTTTAGTTTCAGATAACATTTTCCCTAATTTAGGTAACGTTTTTATTAAATGCACATGGCAAGTCTTCAGATGAAAAACATCTAGCCAAAGTCCAAAATAATAGTTTAGATGTGATAAAAGGAACCTGATACTAACTAGAACTTGATGTGCCTGTAAAGGAGTTACAGGCATAAGAATTTCTGAAGCAAGATAAAAGTCAAAGTTTGAGTTAGGATCCATCACATAACAGAATGTTAACAGCCGGCAGACAATATCAAAAAAGAAAAAAGAAGAAAATCACCCTTTTCCCCCTAGCACAAGCTCCTCTGTAAGCACCACTACCAAAAGCTGTGAGGATGATGGAGCAGCCCCCATGGCTTCTGAACTTTAACGGATCCCCTCTTCCAACTTCTAAAGATCCTTAAACTATTTTCATTTTCTCAGATGCTCTAACCCACAACTCAGTTTAGTTTTAGTCACTATGTTCCACTCGGGAGCATCCCCAAACAGAAGCAGCTCATTTTACATGAGAAACAGGTTCTAATGTCACTGGGTAAAATCAAGTGTGACCAAAATTATCTTCAAAATCTCTTAACCTATAAGTTACAGCACACAAGGCTTTGCCTATAAATCTACACATTAATATGTATAATACAGTAATATACAGTATATAATAAAGTACATAGGCAAAGTTACAGTACTCTTACTGTATTGCTACAGAAATACAGTAGTTCTAAAACACATATAGATGAATATGCATATCTGATCTAACTCCACTGTGCAAAATAATCTCAGAATTAGATTTTATAAGTAATAGATATCATACTAAAATAAAATAGGTAAGGTTTTTCAAGACCAAAGCAGAAAACGCATCAATTACTCTGAGTAGCTTTCTGCATCAACGAAGAAGCTGACTGGTACAACTGTAGACCCTTCATTCTACATACCAGATATTTAAACACTGAATTTTAGAAGCGCTGACAAGAACAGGCAACAAAGCAATAAATCCATGACAGAGCCTCTCTGTTCTTCTCATAAACAAGATTCAATAGTTGCTTAAAAGATGGCTTTAGGGAGAACAGACAAAGAGAACAAGGGAAATGAGCAACTTGTCTGTGGTTCGTGAATTACACTCATGTGTTCCCCTGAAAGAAAACAGTCATTCCACTAATAGGTGCCATTCTTCTAGTCCATCATAAAACAAAACATAACTGACAAAACCTGAGGCAATAACCAGGCCTTAGTTTTTATTTTGTTCTGCAAGTAAACACTTTTCTTTGAACTATTTAACCCACGTATGCATGTCAATGTTTTTCTCCCCTCCCCATATCGGAACTGAAGCTTACGTAATGGTTACATTTCTGGGAATTATTATTCAATGCAAGTAAAAATGAGCAGACAAACATCAAGACTCTTTCTTTGTTCTGTGTGAAACTCATTCCATTCAACCCAGATTGAATTCTTACTGTACTTCAAACTTCAGCAATCGACAACCAATGAGACCAGCACCCCTTCCTTCAGCTGAGAAGAAATCTCAAGGATCTTACAAAAGCTGAACGTACCCAACACCAAAGTTCTACCAACTCAATCCTAATTCTACGCTGTCCCAATGTTTGATGGAATTACCACTTAAAACAAGTTTGCCAACCAAAATAAATAATAATAAATAATATTACTAATAACTGTTGTCAATTTAGCTCTTATTAGGTGGTGTGCTATGTGCTTACTACGGACCAAGTGCTTTACAGACGTTTCATCTGTAGCCAATAACCCAAGGAAGTGGGTTATCTACACTTTCTTTTTCTTTTTAGACAGTTTCGCTCCTGTTGCCCAGGCTGGAGTGCAATGGCACGATCTTGGTTCACTGCAATCTCTGCCTCCCGGGTTCAAGCAATTCTCCTGCCTCAGCCTCCCGAGTAGCTGAGATTACAGGCATGCACCACCACGCCCGGCTAATTTTGTATTTTTAGTAGAGATGGGGTTTCCTTTTATTGGTCAGGCTGGTCTCAAACTCCTCACCTCAAGTGATCCGCCCGCCTCGGCCTCCCAAGTGTTGGAATTACAGGTGTGAGCCACTGCGCCCAGCCTATTTATACTTTCAAAGCAAAGAAGTTAAAAGTTCATAGAGAAACCCAACTAAGGGTACAGGAACGGATAGAGCAAGGATTAAAATTCAGGTCTCAACTCCAAAACCTGTGCTTTGATCCACTACACTACCATACTTCATACTAAACATGAAAAGATGAAAACAGAGGTCTTAGGAAGTTCATCATTGCTACATTGAAATTGCTATTTTCTAAGAAAAACAAAAGACAAATATGTTAGAGAGGGAGCTGCAAGGAGTCTGCCCAGGAAATTCCATCGCCAGGGATATCCTACATCTTACATGAGGCCGGATTCGATCATGGAGAAGAGACATTGGTAACTTGCTTTGCTTCATGACAACTTTGTATGGATCCTTCATAACTGTATCCATTTCCTCTTGAAATTTTTGTAATGATGACTGCTTAATCACACGTGTGTTTCCTGTTTTACAAATAAAGAATGTTGCCACTTAATACATATTTGCACATTCATCTTCCACTGACATGGTGAAAGGCAAGATTTTAAATTACCCTCACTCACCCAAGTACCTGATCCATCCATCCCTTGGAGCTATTTCCAAACTTAAAAGAGGAAAAAAACCCAAAAAACTGCCTCTCCTGCACTTGCACACTATGAACTATTCCACCAACCCAGACCCACAAAGGGTTTCAATAGTTTTCCAAGCCGTTTCCTGACTAAATGAAACTGAGAAATAAATAGCGTGGAATGGAACTGAGAGCTGACAAATGTCCTACTTCCTGCTAGATCTGGCAGAGAAACTTGGAGCCAATCACAGCTGATCAGTCAGTATAGACAGAGAATCTTGAAACACTGAAACCTGAGTCATAGTTACCACTTTTAGGGTTATGAGGATCCAAAGGGACCTCAATTGATTAATCAATTGGTTAATGATTCATTAACCAATGAATCCATGCAAGGGAACAAGACAGAGCCCTGCACCACCACCTGGAAAACACCTTGTGAGGGAGATCCTGAAAAGCATTCAATTAAACAGCATGCTGCAGCATGAATGCAAAACAGCAAGGTGGTAATGATGGTAGCAAGTAATGCTTATATTATACTCACTATTTGCTAGGTACTATTCTAAGCACTTTATATGTATTTACTTTTTTTTTTTTTTGAGACGGAGTCTTACTCTGTCACCCAGGCTGGAGTGCAGCAGCACAATCTCAGCTCACTGCAACCTCTGCCTCCCAGGCTCAAGGGATTCTCCTGCCTCAGCCTCCCAAGTAGCTGGGATTACAGGTGCCCACCACAATGCCTGGCTAATTTTTGTATATTCAGTAGAGATGGGGGTTTCACCGTGTTGGCCAGGCTGGTCTCGAACTCCTGACCTCAAGTGAATCACCAGCCTTGGCCTCCCAAATGCTGGGATTACAGGCATGAGCCACTGTGCCTTGCTTGTATTTACTCATTTGATTACCACGACAGTCCTGTGAGATAGGTTTCATCTTATTCTCTGTTAGGGATGAGAAAACTGATGAACAGACAGACTTAATAACTTGCACATAAATGACAGAACTAGAATTCAAACCCAGGCAGTCTAATCTGGAGTCACAGTACCCGGCAGCCATGCTAAATGCTTCTCTGCAGAGTTTTCTTTGACACCTTTCTGTGTTGCAGCTCCTAGGAAGTATCCTACCAAAAGTGTAAGAGACTCAAAGGTAGCTGCCATCTGCCCCCAAGGACAGAGGTCAAACACCAAGCAAACACTGGGGTCTGATCATCTAAAGTGCCCATACATTACCAGTGGCTAAGGGCAAAGTTAAAAGCCCAGACTGAAATGGAACAGAGAGTTTCCCAAGGAAGAAGCTGTGATCACCCTGTGACTGAAGATACTCTATTCACTGTTGGAAGGTTCAACAGTGAGACCCTTTAATTGTCACCCAAGTTCAAATAAAAACTCCATTAAGAAGTGTTTCAGAGGAACTCTGGGCTAATGCACTTACCCTGCAGGATATATGCACAAACACCTACAAGGCCACCTCTCAAACAGTATCTCTCCAGGCAAGCATAAAAGATCAAGATGACCATTCTAAGGTCTGTGAATCCTAGTCATTAAGGACGGTCTTATCTGCTTAAGAGGGTTCAATTACAATTACTAATGGTGAGCGCTCTTCAAAAAGAAGTTATTTATTAAATCTACCACCACTACTTTTCCCAGTACTTTTTCTTATCCCTTTCTCAGATAATCCTTGACAGTTCCACTCACCAAAAACTCCTGTCGTTTAGATATTTAAACATCCTAGCCGTTTCCATTCAGCATACATTTTGTAGAGCAAAGTAGCAGGGGATAATACTCACCAAACCATTTAATATTTGGCTCTACTCTTGCTACTGTGCCAGAAGCCACCGTTGACTGATATTGCAGGGGTTTAATTATTTTACCACGACTGTTCCTAAATTGAGGAAAGAACAGATATTGGTTGACAACAGAAGAATGGCAACAGCAAAGTTTGATTTACAGAATATATTTTCCATCAAAAGGACTTCTTACTTTGGTTTTAAATGATCATGAAATACCAATTCCAGTAAACACAAAGTACTTCTACATTTGAAACAGATTGCCCAAAAGCCATTTAACCTCTTGCAACAGAGCATGTAATGATTTCTGCTAGATGAATAACAACTAACGGTGACGTTTTAAAAAATCTGTTTACTGTTTACTTTAAAAAAAAAAAAACACATACTTGAGTTTTTTGGGTAACTATTCGAAGGCTGTTTTAGATGAATTGTTCAAGTAGAGGGTGATTTACGCTGGGATTCCAAATTCTAAAACAAACTGCAAAGTAGATGACTAACGCATAATAAGTTAATTGACATTTGTATTTTAGTCACATCTTCTAGAACAGACAGAGACGGAGAATCTAATTACCAAACAAACTAAGACCAGCTAGCGGAATGCCACACTCAGCAAATCCCTGTGGTAGAGGCTACCTCAGCAGAACTCGGAGTTGTGATGAGTGTCCAAGTGGCACAATGTTGTGATCTACATTTTGGCATTAAAAAACACATTTTCTGGTGGCTTTCCTAACCATAGTCCTGTAGGTTTTGTTATATCTGGCCGTATTTAACGCTGAGATTTAATGCGCCATTTGTGAAGGTCAGGGCTGTGAGAAACAAGACCTCTACTTTTGAGTACTGTGAAACCATCACTATTTCACCACCAGCTACCCATGCCCTTAACCAAAAATTAACCATTTATCCTAACGACATTCATAAACAATTATATTCGAGAATATATAACTCTTATTTGGAGGAAGTGGGGGTGAGACCAGCAAAGGCTTAATCAGTCTCAGCTAGCAGTCAAGGGCATAAAGGAAAAGAGAAAGGATGACAGCACCCAATGCTCACCTGCGCTCCTTTTGCCTATACATATTCAGGCGCCGGATGGTGGCCCGGTCCCTCATGTTTTGGCCTCCTGCTCCCTGCACTCGATCTACAAAAGGCAGAAGTACACAGTGCACTATTTGATAACCAACCAGTATAACCAACAAGTTATTGCTTAAAATGCAACAAGTAGTTCACCCAAATTAGGTAAGAAACCACCAACCACAAAAATCTCTACTTTCTCCATGTTGTTCCAATAATTATTACTTGAAGCTATATGGTATGACAAAGCTGACCCAACCTTTGATCTTCGATAGGATTGTATTTGAGAAGAAGAACAGCTAGTATTTTTGAGCACTTATGATGGCTATCCACATTATAGGCATCATCTCATTTAATCCATACAATAATCCTATAGATATATTATCTCCATGCTGCAGAGTGAGAAACTGAGGCACAGTGGTCAGACACCTTGCCCAAGGTCAAACCGTTACTAAATGGCAGTGCCAGAATTTGAACACGAGCATTTTATCACCATCTGTGGTCTTAACCACGAAGATACCTACCTCTGTGCCTCCATTTAACAAATATGGGGTGCCTCCTCCATGCAAGGCACCATGGAGACTGTAAGTTTGATATATATGTGTTCCAGTTTCTTAATGTTTGATTTTTGTTTAATCAACACAGCAATTCTTGCCTTACATCTCAAAGAGAAAGAGAAGAACAAACGAGCAGGGTAATACTAGCCTAGCTTCTCATTTTGGGAGCTATTTATTTATTTATTTATTTATTCTTCCCGAAACGGAGTCTTGCTCTTTCACCCAGGTTGGAGTGCAGTGTTGCGATCTCAGCCCACTACAACTTCCGCCTTCCCGGTTCATGCGATTCTCCTGCCTCAGCCTCCCGAGTAGCTGGGATTACAGGCATCTGCCATCATGCCCGGCTAATTTTTCTATTTTTGTAGAGAGGGGGTTTCACCATGTTGGTCAGGCTGGTCTTGAACTCCTGACCTCAGGTGATCCGCCCGCCTCGGCCTCTCAAAGTGCTGGGATTACAGGCGTGAGCCCACACCCGACTGGGAGCCCTCTAAATCACCTGTCTGGTCCTGAAGTGATGCAGTAGAAGACAGGCTGAAACCACAGCCCATTGGCTCTCCTACTCTCTAACAGTAGAGACTGGCGGCTCTACTACTATTCACTAACTGTTGCAATTATGACAAGCCACTTCCTGCATTTTGATTCAGTCTCTTCACCTGTAAAATCATAATCTCTAAGGGACTTTTGGGGTCTAACATTCTGAGATTCCAGTTTGTGCAAAGTGAATAATTTATTATCAATCCGGAGTAAACATTCAACATGCATTAAAATTGTCAAAAATTCTAAACCATATTTTAAAACAAAGTTTTATTAATTAAACTTGAATGGAAAGAACTCTCCCACAGGATGTCTTGCTAATCCTACAGGTGGAACTTCGCCAAAACTTACACACATCTCCAAAACAGCCTTACTGCAATGATCATATTGACTTCTTTGTAGGGTTCTCTAAGCACTTTACCAGATAGAATAATTCCAAGGGCAAAAACTACAATCCCTTTCTCATTTTAAAGGTAAAAGTTAAGGTGGCCGGCAAATATGATCACGTGTAAAAGGCCCGATTACCCATTTTCAAGCTGACTTTCTCTGCATCTCTCAACTGGAGAGGACCCGAGGCTGCCAGCCTGAGTGTTCACTTTCCCTGACTTTAGACCAGTTGACTACACTTTGGCCTGCCAGGCGTGCAATGTCAGCCCTCCTCAGTGCCCCCGAGAAGAAACCACCACAAATATTGCTTTCCTTTTTCCCTTTTCATCCCCAACAGCCACCCCGCTCATAGTCATTCTAAGCAATGCCACCCAAGTAACCCTCCTTCTCCTCCAGTCCTCCTCGGAGCCCTTCCCTATACTTCCTCCAAGCTCCACACTCGATCAGCCCTGCCGCCTGTACCTGGGTTTGTGCTGGCATTGGACGGGTTGATGGTGCTCCGTCCTTTGTACTTGGGCTTCACCATCTTGGCGACGAGACCGGGACCGGAGTGCGAGGTCCGGCTTACGTGGGGAAACAAACTTAGAACTACCCAGGCCCGGCCAAAGTGACCCGCGTGAACCACGCCGGACCACGTGTGCACGACCTACGTCACTTCCGCTCGCGCCCCTCCCTGCCCCAGAGCGACTTCCTGTGAACGCGCGGCGCGCGCCACTACCGGCCTGGCTCCGCCCCCGCCCTAGCCACCTAGGCGTCGCCCTGCGTGGAGCCCCAGCCCGCTCCAGCCCTAGCAACCGCCAAGCTGCCCCTCCATAGCAACCGCCTAGTTACCCTGAACGCGTGGCCCAGAGCTCCCAGTTGGGTCCACCTCCAAATAAAGAAGCCTCTTCCCAGGCCAATGACACAAGCTTAAGTTTGTCTTCTGAATTTGTCTTCTAAGTCCTTCCAAAAGTTGCCGACCACACAGCAGCCAAATATCCATTAGAAGGTGTCATCCTCTTCCTTACAATTCCTGCGGCTTATCATCACTCTTAGAATGACAGGTAGGGGAAGGGGGAAGGGAGAAACAGAGAGAGACAGAGATTGATCAAACTTTTTGCCATCCCTGCAGGATTCTGTGATCTGGCCCCTGCCTATTTATCTGATCTCATGTGTACCTCCCTCCCTCTGGTTATTCTGACATTTACACTGGATATTCTCTCTGCCTGAATCACTGTTTCCCAGAATCTTTGCATAGGTGGTCATTCAATCCTCAGCTCAAATATCACCTATTGGTAGGCCTGCAAGAATTAGCAAATAGAAATACAGGACACCAAATTAAATTAGAATTTCAGCGGAAAAAAAGGAATACATTTCTTTAGTACACCTCCAATAGTGCCTGGAAAATACATACACTAAAAAAGTATTCATCGTTTGCCTGAAATCCAAATGTAACTGTACGTTCTGTATTTTATCTGGTGACCCTTCGTACTGTGAGAACTCTTTCCTGTCTGATTTGTCTAAATCAGCCACCTTTCACCCTTTCACAGTTACTCTGTTACAGTATTCTCTTTTATTTATTTCATGGCATTTATCACTAGTTGAATTTTTTTTTTTTACCAGTTTATTGGCTGCTTCCCTCAAACTAGAATGTAAGCTTCTTGAAAGCACGGACCTTGTAAATTTGTTCACTGCTGTGTCTTTAAGACTTGAATAGCACCTGAAACAAAGGACTCAAAAACTATTCATTAAATGAAAGGATGAGTAGATGGGAATGTCTCTTGCCTTGAGGGTGAAGGAAGGCATTAAGACCCAGTGATCTCTGTTTCTACCAGCCAAAATAAAGTTTCTAGATGCCAGTGTTTCAACCAAGAAGCCCTCTTTTTAAAATTTTTTTATCTTTTTGTTTTTGTTTTTGTTTTTTGAGACAGAGTCTCGCTCTTGTCGCCCAGGCTGGAGTGCAGTGGCACGATCTCGGCTCACTGCAACCTCCGCCTCCTGGGTTCAAGCAATTCTCCTGCCTCAGCCTCCCAAGTAGCTGGGATTACAGGCACATGGTACCACGCCCAGCTAATTTTTGTATTTTCAGTAGAGACAGGGTTTCGCCACATTGGCCAGGACAGAAGGTACTTCTGTCCCTCGAGCTTTGCTGGTCTCAAACTCCTGACCTCAGGTGATCCACTCGCCTGGGCCTCCCAAAGTGCTGGGATTACATGTGTGAACCACCGCGCCTGGCCCCTGTCTCTTTTTTGGTACCTCAAATGGTCAGGAAGTGGCCATCTTTGTACCCTCTGGATAGGCCAGAAAAGAGATGGTTAGGCAAGAGGAAGGGTGGATGCATGCAGTGTAGCTCATTTCATAAAAACGAACAACTTGTTATAAAGTGAGGTATTCTAATTGAGCAGGGGATGATTGAGTCTTTATTTCTCCGAGTTTGAAACAAACCCCGAAACATTCTTTGTAGAGCAAAAGCAGGCCATGTCATAGGCAAGAGCTGGAAATACCTTCTGTCCCTCGAGCTTCGCTTTCCTTGCCCCAAGGGCAAGTATCATGAGATTAAATGCAATTCTGCTGGGAAGGCCCTGACCCTGACTTGTGTTAGGGAAGCTCTGAGAGCTATTTGGAAAAAAACTTCATGCTCAGTGAAGATGCCCCCTTCCACCCCACACTGTCCCTCTGATCCCCAAAACAAGGGTACAATAGCCTCCTCCCAGAGAGAAGATTCAGTTAATGTGTTTCTGATGCCTCAAGTTGGTGCAAACCAGAATAAACACGGATGGCAAAAATCAGCCTATGAGCTCATTCAGGCTTTGATCAGAGACATAATTTCATTATGAAATTTTGAATCAGGCTGTTGTGAAGTCTTGCCAAGGAGTTTCATTTTCCCAGATGATATGGTGGGTTGTTTCTCTCCTGTTCTCATACTCTGCTTGCATTTATCGTACAAACTTTCCATCTATTTTTATAATCTGACCCATCAATCCTTTTACAACAATATTTGCTGATCTTGACAACCAACGTCAATTCTACCAGCAGATAAAAAGCCTGATCAAGGTAGGTCAAGCTTAAGTTACTGGTTTGATTTGCCTGCCCTGCTTGCCGCATTGTAATGCAGTGACTATTTTTCACTCTCTTTTCTGATGTCATGCTGACCAGCAAAGGCAAGCTACACCTCCAGGTCTACAGTTCCTCAGCTTTAAAACAGATGCAATAACTTAACTACCCTGAAAGACTGCAATAAGATCATATGAGTTATGGTATATGGAAGCATCACGGACATGCTACACATCATGCAGATGGGATGCTTTTTTTTTTTTTTTTTTTTGAGGTGGAGTCTTGCTCTGTCACCAGGCTGGAGTGCAGTGGTGTGATCTCAGCTCACTGCAAACTCTGCCTCCCGGGTTCAAGCAATTCTCATGCCTCAGCCTCCCGAGTAGCTGGAATTACAGGCACGTGCCACCACGCCTGGCTAATTTTTGTATTTTTAGTAGAGACAGGGTTTCACCATGTTGGCCAGGCTGGTCTCGATTTCCTGACCTCAAGATCAGCCCGCCTTGGCCTCCCAAAGTGCTGAGATTACAGGCTTGAGCCACTGCACTGGCCAGGGATGCTTTCTATTTTTCTCAAAATCCAGGATTAGCTACTCATCCCCTCAAATCTTGCTCCTGGTAACCACAGGTTTGTGTGAATGAGAAGACCTTAATGGAGACTGGCTGGAAATGCCATGTTCTGGACTGGAGTCTTCACAGGAAGCAGACAATCCTGACCTTACTTTTTTTTTTTTTTCCAGACAGAGTCTTGCTCTGTCACCCAGGCTGGAGTGCAATGGCGCGATCTCAGCTCACTGCAACCTCTGCCTCCTTGGTTCAAGCAATTCTCCTGCCTCATCCTCCTGAGTAGCTGGGATTGCAGGCACCCGCCAGGACGCCCAGCTAATTTTTGTATTTTTAGTAGAGGCGGGGTTTCGCCATGTTGGCCAGGCTGGTCTTGAACTCCTGACCTCAGGTGATCCCCTTGCCTCAGTCTCCCAAAGTGCTGGGATTATAGGCATGAGCCACTGCGCCCGGCCCTGACCTCACTTTTATCTTCATTCTGTAAAAAGTTTGTCACTGGGGTCTAATGGGCAAATAGCAGCAGCTTCTAAAGCAGCGTTTTTCAAAGTGTGATCTGAGAACCACAAGCATCAGAATCACTTGGGGGATTTGTTTAAAAATGCTGGGCGTGGTGGCTCATGCCTGGAATCCCAGCACTTTGGGAAGCAGAGGCAGGTGGATCGCTTGAGCTCAGGAGTTTGAGACCAGCCTGAGTGACATGGCAAAATCTTGTTTCTACAAAGCATGCAAAAATTAGCCAGGCATGGTGGCTCAAACCTGTAGTCCCAGGTACTTGGGAGGCTGAGGGTGGAGAATCGTTTGAGCCTGGGAAGTGGAGGCTGCAGTGAGATTGCGCCACTGCACTCTAGCCTGGGCGACAGAGTGAGATCCTGTCTCAAAAATAAAATAAAATAAAATAAAAATGCAGATTCCTGGGTTTTATCCCAGAGCTTCCAAAATCAGACCATCTTGGGGGTGGGGCCAAGAGAATCTGCATTTTGGCAAGCTCCTCAAGTGATTCTTGTATATACAAAAGTGAAGTGTTTTCCAAGAGTCACTCGGAGGCTTTCTGGCCAGGTGACCAGAAGGCAGCCCTGGAAGATTCAGCTTCTTTCCTACCTATCTTAAATCATCTTGTTCTTAGCAGAGCCAGGGTGAGGAAGGCTGCTGCAGTGTCTAATGTACTCTGAAAATATATGTCTTGGCTCTGCCCCAAATGCCTTGATATTTATGCTGCAGCCGGAGGGTTACCCTTTGGCAACGCTCCATTGTAAGGCCATTAGCTCTTAATTAGTGTCAGCTTGTTGGGTTATACTTCCCAATTGAACTGCTAGCAGAAGCTGCTCTTTTCAGGCCTCTTGTGTCTCTCCTCTGGCAAGTCCATGATGCATTGACCCCTGCCTGCTGAGGCCAAGAGTTGGGCCTCTGGAATGACCGCTGCCCAATATGAAACAGTCCTAGTCCCCAAGTGCTAGGTTCTGGGACTCTGGAAGAACAGAAAAAGGCTCAGAATATATATCTACAGGGTTTTGTTGTTTTGTTTCATTGATAGAAAACAAAAAAGTGAGTCTTTGGTTATACAACCTCAACAGTTCTACAAGCAAATTCAAGTATAAGAAAAGTAAAGTTCGGCCGGGTGTGGTGGCTCATGCCTGTAATCTCAGCACTTTGGGAGGCCAAGGAAGGCAGATCATCTGAGGTCAGGAGGTCGAGATCGGTCTAGCCAACATGGTGAAACCCTGTCTCTACTAAAAATACAAAAATTAACTGGGCGTGTTGGCGCACGCCTGTAATCCCAGCTACTAGGGAGGCTGAGGCACAAGAATTGCTTGAGCCCGAGAGGCAGAGGTTGCAGTGAGCCAAGATTTACACCAGTGCGCACCAGCCTGGGCGACACAGTGAGACCCTGCCACAAATAAATAAATAATAAAAAAGAAAAGTAAAGTGTATTAACTTGGAGCTTCATAGGCCAAGTTACCCTCAGTTTTCAGTCTAGGACACCTGGGAAATTCTTGGGCAAGGATATAGCAAACTGGTGGGCTTGCTAGCTGTAAAAATGGCTAGGTGACTCACCTCTGGGAACCCCGAGAAACTTATCTTTATGGTCACCACTTCTA